AAATAGACTACGCTCGGAGATCGATATGATCATTATGTCCCATTGTTTCACTTCATATCGTGAAATATTGGAGAGGGCTCATACTATTTCTTATCAAATGACTACATTTGAATAGTATTCTCAATAGAATAAGGAGTCATTGGAAAAAGAAAGTAGAATAATTAGAATAAGACAGACATAACTAGCCGAATAAAAGACCAAGTACAGGAGTTTGTATTGGTGGGATGAGTAAGAGTATTACACATTGCCCTAAGTATAATAAACTACACATGGGTTAATACTTACTTTGGAAGAACGTGTGTTTTCGGTGTCGTAAATCGGAACACTTTGCTCTTAACTGTACAAAGCCTTCAAAAAAGAAGGAAGATGATTAGAAAAAGAAAAAAAATGGAATGCTCAAGTTTTCACACTAAATTAGCAGGAGGTAGAGCAGAATCCAAATGTGATAGCAGGTATTTTATTATTATTTGAATTACCTATTTACGTTGTTGATTTTGTATCCTCCATTGCTAAGTCTAACATTATAATTACAAAAAAAAAATGTATTCTGTTATTATCTGATGTACCTAATTCAGTACTTGTTGACTTTGGGGCTATAAATTCTTTCATCTCTACATTTTTCATCTCTAAGTCTAACATTACATGTGTAAATTGTCCTACTCCATCTCAAGCTCGAGAAATCATTTTCTATTTTGTTCATTCTTTGCCTCGAGCTCCTCTAGATTGCTCGAGATATTCAGGTCATTCAGAGTCAGGCATCGAGCAATGCTTAAAGTCTACAAAATTGATAGTAAACTCGACATCAAATTGTTCATAAAAGAAAGAAAAAGAAGCAATGTGTAGAATCGAGATATAACTTCAAAGTCAGGATCGCAAGGGTTTTAACCCCTTCATGGAGATCGACCTCATTCTCGTGCTTGTTTACAATGCTCGAGACCAATGAGCATTCAGCATACTCCTCTAGCGAACTCTACGGGACGACATTGTCGTCCAAATCCACGATCTTGGGCGTGGCTCAAGGAGTTGATGCCTGAGCTTTGCAACCTTGGAGTTGCCTAAAGTGTAAGGATCTAGCTTTTTGTCCTCGAGGTCTGTCTCGTCGGTATGGCCTTCCTCGCCCTCTTCTTTCCCTTGGACAGGGCAGACACCTTTGATTTTGGGCCTTTTACTATATGGTTGACGTTTTCAAGGAGCTTTGAAGGGTCGAAAGACATTTCTAGATCTGCAAAAAAAAAAAAAAACATTAGCTTAATCTCAAGTTCAAGATTAATACAAGAAAGCACAAGTAGGTAAAGATCATACCCTCAAGGCCTCTCACGTTTGCAAGGTCAAGGGTGCCGTTAAACAGTAGATAATTAATTTTCCTGCAAGAGGGTTGTGATTTACTAGCCTCAATCTATCCCTCTCTAGAACCAAGAAGTACGCCTAACCCTCGTTGAATCTATAATTATCGAGGATTTCCCAGTTTAGGTTGAAAGGGTGGTTAAGGTCCTAAGGTGTTACGAAAAGAAAATGTTCTTTCTAACCTTTCAATGAGCTCAGGGTATCTGGCATCCTCACCCTTGAGTGGATAGATAAACAAAACAGTTATACCTTGGGAGAATTTCATGTCAAAAACCATCCTCAAGAGGTCGAGTCTATGCTTGACCCCGAGTCATCTTAAAAAAAAAAAAAAAAAAAAAAAAAAAAAGTAGATCAGTAGCTCTATCCATTAGGGGCTAATTGGCCAATGCGCATAAAGTAGGAAGTCAAGAAGTGGATAAAAGGTAAAGAGGCCACCTAAACCCGACCTTAAGGGCATCCCTAAAAAATGCCATCTCGCCCTCACAAGCATCTAGTATGGTCTCAGTAGGCTTGGGGGCCCTTATATCACATAAAGGCATGACCCCGAACTCCCTAACAATCTTAATAATTACGTGTTCCTTATATTTGGTCAGCTCCTTAGGATAGGTCAAGATAGTCTCATCCACAAGATGTGAGCTAAGAGGAACGACTATTAGGATAAGGGACGTACCTAAACACTCGAGGCTACTAGTGTTCGAGCTCCTAGAAGGATGGCTACAACCACTTGACCCCTTAGTACTACTGCTACTCAACATTAATTTTCAAATAATAATTAATATCTTAAAAGCTCGAATTCTAACCTCTTTAGAGGTTCGCTCACAAATCCACTTATCCCCAAACTCAAACTTCTTTTATTGATAGTTGAGAGCAAAAGAGTGAAAAGTGAGAGTAAAAAGTAGGAGTATCTAATCTTAGCCTTTGGATCATGACACGTAGCAACCATATGAGATCGAGTCCTACCAGCTCAACACGTATCAAACAATTGTTTTAAATTACAGTCGGGGACGAAGTTCGACTTTAGGCTATTACACCTCATTGCATCTCACCCGAGCATGCGCCACAAGCTGCGACATGGATACACGAGGGCTTGTGACGATCACGAAAACCACGTCACCCGAACTTGAACTCGTTCGACATGATCTTACCCTTTGGCACTTTCTCCACAATTAAGGTCGGGCCTATATTTAGTCAGGCCTCCACATCAAGATCGGGCTGTATGTCCTTTAACGTAATTTCTTCCCCACCTTCTAGAAGACGTTAATCCTACTTCGACTATAATTTTTCATGACCTTTATCATCATAGTTTACTTATATTGTCTTATTCAAACTCAAACGGAATACTCATAACATAACACAAACTCCTTACATGATAAGGATAAAGATTACTATTGGTTGAATCGATCTAAACTTTACCACTAACATCTACAGATACATGACCAAAGCTCATTATTCAAGTACATTTTTCATTATTTCCAATTTGTAGCCTCACGCATAAATTCTATCTTTTACTTAAGCATCACAGGGACAACGAGAACACAGCTCGATTCCTTTATTTCAGGTATTGGAAGATCCTGTTCCTGCTCAGTTTCAGTCATCAAGTTCTGAAATCAACAGGTATGATTTTTGGTAGTATAATTGTTAGTTCTCATAATATGACAGTCTATCTTCTACATATTGCAATTCATTATTGATACTGATATTGTCCCACAACTTATTCTACACTCATTTACTCCCACTTCAAATCATGATTATTGCAAGGTTTTCCATTGATAATTCTACGGATATTGGTGATATGTTCTCAATACACTAGTTGTTCCCTCCTCCTCTTCGTATGGTTGCCCAATCACCTCCTAAAAATGTGGATCTTCCTCTTCATTACCTTATGCATACGCGTAAATCTACTAAGTTACCAAAATTTTCTCTCTTGTTACTCTAGCTCTTTTGTTTCTTTGTAGCTTCTGTTCATAGTCTTTCTAAGCCTTTTTCCTATAGAGAGGTAGTTTGTAACCTATTTTGGCAGAAGGCTCTGGCTGAGGAACTTACTCCTCTATATCAAATACACACTTGGGGCTTTGTACTCTATAGCAAAGAAAATGAGCAATTAGTTCTTGTTAGGTCTGTAAAATCAAAATCAAGTGGATATGTTGAAAGATACAATGCCCGATTAGTTTACATCTTTATAGCTGTTGCCCATGTTCGTCGATGGAGTATATCTCAAATGGGTGTTAAAAATGCCTTTTATAGGCGATCTACAGGAAGAAGTCTACATGGTTATACTTACTAGTGTCACTCACCAACCTAGTGAAGCTTGCAAACTCAAAAAAGCTATTTACGGTCTCTAACAATCACCTAGAGTTTGGTTTGAGAAGTTTTCTATCTTGATTACTTTATTTAGTTTCCGTCCTAGCCATCATGATTCAGCTTTATTTCACGGATGTATAGTCAACGATCATGTTTTCTCTCTTTATATGTTGAGGACATGATTATTATTGGTGATGATGTTGATGGGATTACAACATTAAAGTCAGAGTTAGCTCTTTTGCAGTGAAAGATTTGGATTCATTACTTTACTTTTTGGTTATTGATGTCACATTCTCTTCGAAATATTATAATTTTTCTCATCTAAGTATATAGATGATACATTTGAGCATTCTCATCGTACTATTAATAAGACAGTTGATACACCTCTTGAGCTTAATGCTTGATATTTTCCTTCTGATGGTTCTCCATTGTCGGATCCTAGTCTATATGATACTGTTGTTGGTAGCTTGGTTTATCTCACCATCACTCATGCAAATATGCACATGTTGTTCGTATAGTTCGTTTGTTTGTATCTGACCTATTACATTTTGACGTATCTTCGAGGCACTCAGTTTTAGAGTTTTTACTTTCATCTACTTCATCCTTAGAGTTGCGAGCATATTATGATTCTAATTAGGTTAGTGATCCTATAGATCGTTGGTCTATCACTAGCTTTTCTATCTTTTTTAGCGATTCTCTTATTTCTTGGAAGAGCAATAAGAAAGATTTGTTTCTAGATCATCCACAAAAGTAGAGTATCATGCCATGGCTTCTATTAATTATGAGATAATTTGGTTACGTTGATTGCTTGCAAATGTTGGTGTATTACTTTGTTGATCTACTTCATTGTATTGTGACAATAAAAGTACTATTCAGATTGTGCACATCTTAGTATTCCATGAGCGGACCAAACATATTGAGATTTATTGTCATCTCATTCGACATCATCAACTTGAAACTATCACATTAATTTTTGCTCCTTCCCCCATGTAAATTGCTTAGTTGTTTACAAAGTCACGTTCCACTTCACAATTTTGTTTTTTGTTTGACAAATTCTCAATGCATCTTGCAACAACATCACGAGTTTGACAGATATTAAATATATTAATTATTTATCTTAAGGGTAGATTAATTTTTTAACTTATCTTCTAACAAGACTATTTAAAACTTCTCTCTTATATTTTCATTCTTTTTGTTTATTTTCTCTATATTTTGTTCATTGATTTAACATTCTAAATGGTCAGAGTAAGATCAGCCTAGAGGTGTATAAATGGCTACCCACGCCCAGACAGTCTGATACATAAAAAACCTGCATGAGACAAACTTGAAATAAAAACTGATGGATTCTTCATTTTGATAGTGCAGTATCAATGCATCACGTTAATTATTAAATAAAAATTGGTTGATGCATAAGAATTATATAAAATTTAACAAGAAAAAGATTACACTCTAGAAAAGAAATTTAATATACTGTTTTTCTTAGTTTCTGAACACTGGCTATGGTCTTTGTTCAGTTTTTTCTCACTTTTGTTTCTACTGTGCCTTTGAGAAATATTGAAGGGTTTAGATTTAACACTTTCCTGTGATTCGGTTGTGACAAACATGATTTCCGAGTTTTCAATCTCAATCACTTCAGAAGATTGTTGAACAACTTCATCTGCCTGACCCAATATGACTTCGCCTAGTTTTCGTTTCTTGAATGGGTTGTTGTTAGGAATATCAAGAAAGATTCCATTTGTAACCTTTTTGTTTTCTTTGGAAGCTTCATTGCTTATAGGAAAAGCCAACTTTTCTAGAGCTAAAGTTTCGTTTGAGTGCAGCACTTCCTCAGTAGTAGGCTTCAGCTTCCTTTTCTCCAATGTATTGGTCAGAACCCTCCTGGTCGATGGAACCCCTGAAAGATTTCCTATGACAGGGTAAGCTTTATAATGCTCAACGTATAAATTATACGCTAGATGGAGTTATATGACTTACCTTTGATTCTTTGTTTGCTGATTTTGTGACAGGAAATTACAGTAAAGCAGCTTTCTTGTGGAGATAAAGCCGTTGCATCTTGTCTCAAGTGTCGATTAGGAGACCCTAAAATGGTGGGGTGGTGATTTCTAAATTGTGGGATGTGATCAAAAGCCTCCATTGTACTAGGGTCTATATTTCCTTCAGCAATTGCAGTTGCTAGTGAAGGGGGTAAATCTCTAATTGCAGTTAAGGAGTGAAAACAGGAACTTATCATCGCAAAAGTTGGCCAAGTAGCTTTCTAAAATAAAGAGTATGGATGTCTATCTTCTGACTCCCACAAGTTCATGCACTTCAAAGAAAAAAATATGAAGATGAATGAACACGGCTTTGAAGATGCGAATGATGCAGATTTCAAACTCCCTTAGGTTATTGGTTCTGGTGAGACCAAAGATTAGACCTCTCAGGTAAAAATGTATAAAGATTATGTTTCGGAAATATCTGAAAAGTGACAAGGATACGGGCCGAGGAAATCGAGCTCCTCATCTTGTCGCTGCAAAAGCTCTGGTGTAAGAGGTTTGAGATGTTTGAGTCTCTTTAAGTTTGCATCATATCTGCCATAGCGTTGAAATATTATATACTTTATTTCAACAACAAATCATAAACGGCAGTTCCTTCGAGATGCTTAATACGTACATTCTAGCGTGCCGGAAGACTGCGACTGCTTCTTTGAATGCCTTCGGGTAATCTTCAGGCATTTGTCGTCCCTTTTCAAACTTCAAGGTAGATAAAACCTGCAAATGTCACATCTATCTGAATAAAATATAATTCAAGAGGCTTTTGAGTAATATTAAGACGTTGCACTGATAGTTATGGTACGTACAGTTGTACATGCAAAAAATATAAAAAATAAAAAATCAGTGAAACACTAGTAAGAATAGATTTTTCAGCATGAGAATCTCGTATATTCCAAAATGGTGCGCCCACTGTCATTACACAAAAAATAAAGCTCTCGTCTGTTCAGCTGCTTTTAAACGCCTCGTCGCTTAGAGTTCACAGCGAAACGAAGTAATGTTCGTAAGTTTCAAAAGATTCTGATAAAAGCAGGGATTCCAAATTTAACCCAAAACTCCAGTGAGTATTTAGAGCAAAATCGCAGATGCAATTCACATTAGCACATATTAAGCCAGAGAATCATCCAATTCACAGATGGAATTGGTTGGCTATACAAATTATCTCCTGGTGTACAAATATATGCAATTAAACTTTAGATTCATTAAAAGAGACAATACTCGTATGCCAAATAAAACTAACAGCAACCAATTCTCCTCAAATATTAGAATATTGAATTTGCAGTTGATCATCATTGGGAGATTGCCTGGATCCTAATTTCTGCAGTATTTCCTTCTACTTCTCATTATTTCTTTTGACAAACACAGTAAGTATGATTGTGAACTTTTACCTTTCTACCGGCCCTACAGAGAATTGATTATTAATGAATCGCCAATGTAAAGAGTCCGCTAAGATGCTCTCTTCAATGCACTGATAATATATTGAAGTAAGAAATCTGTTGGGGAGATGTGTAGGAAAATGGTTGTTTGTCACTATACAAAATACTGGTTATGTTTAATCAGCAAGAGCATAATTAAACTCTATGTAACTTAGATATGAAAAGAAAAATGGAGAATAAAAAGAGAGTGAGGAAAAGAAATCTGAGACAAGTAATTAACACTTTTTCCTTAAGATGAAATTGCCGTGCAATGGTGCCAACAGATTACGGCACTTGTCTCTCAAAATACAATGAATGCAACTTGGTAGAAGCACTTTAAACCATAAGCAACAACGAACTCAAACGAAATTTTTTCCCCACAAGAAATTAATTTTGGAATGATTTTTGGAGAGCTTTTGCAGGAGATTTTAATGTAATGCTCAATGCAAAATGATATTGAATGCATATGACGTCCAATGGGTCCTATTTATAGAAGATGAAAGGTTGTAAGAAAAGAAGCATGCTCCAAAACTCAGCAACCTAAGGGACGCATCCCTTACTATTGCTGACCTCTTGCTTGAGCGCCAGTGACATACTTTCGATAGAAACTTTTCGCCCCTCTTGTTATTTGAGCGACAGCTTCACAACTCACTTGGCCCTAGTCTGCCGCTCGAGCGACAGTGCTATATGATTTTTTTTCTCTTTTTTCCTTCCAATTTCGGACCACAATTTTTCATTCATACAGAATTAGTTTTGAGATTCCACATATATTACGACAATCTACTCAACAAGTAAAAGAAGTCAATCTATTTATTTTTATAATTTGACGATCGAATCAAATCTGAATATTAAGTCGAAGTTGACACGACATCACTTTCAAGTTTATATTAACTAAATTTTTTAATCTTTAAATCAAATTCCAACAATCCCCCACATGAATGAAAATATAAATATGTTTATGAAATAAAAATATGATACATCGTAGAGAAAGAGCAAAAAAACACTACATCAAGTAAGGTAAGTTCCGACTTTAAACCTTCCTTAGTGTATTCTATCGAATTTACTTGGCTAATTGGCGGCCATGATGTCTTGAACCATTTAGTCATTGGTGTAAACAAAGAAAATAGTATTAAAACAAATGTCTTCCCTAAATCGTTCATGGTTCTCATCACTAGATTAATTTTCTTGATCCTAAATCACTCTTGGGTTTTGTAAGTGTCTAGAAACTTTTAGCCCCAATTTTTATTTTTATTTTTTAAAGCGGCCTACTTCACACTTATATATATGATCTCCTATTAGAGTATTTTACCTTACTTCACTTACTTAGTTAAGATATAGGAATCATTAAAAGCATATCTTAACCTTTAACATTCTGCAAAAAACACTTCAATTATAATAGGAATAAGTTGGGATGTATTTCCCTAAGTGCTTCTTCGAAATCTTTCTAACTTAGTTGTCCTATTGAATCAAGATCTTGGAATCTCCAGTCAATAAAGTAGGGACACCATTAAAAAGATCTTAAGTAGTAGGCTTTAATCTCATACCTTTCGATAGGCAACGTACTTAATCTCTTGATAGACCTTTCATAAGTGGATCCGTGATGTTCTCCTTTAATTTCACATAATCTATAGAGATAATACCATTTGAGATAAGTTGTTTAATGGTATTGTATCTACGACGTATATGTCTAGACTTACCATTGTACATGTTACTTTGTGTCCTTCCAATCGCCGATTGACTCACAATGTATACATATTGCAGGTACCGGCTTAGGCCAACATGGAATATCTTCCATGAAGTTATGAAGTCATTTTGCTTCTTCTCCAACTTTGTCCAAAATAATAAACACCAATTCCATAGTTGATCAAGTTATACACATTTCCTTTGTTGACTTCCATAACACAGCAGCTCCACCAATGGTAAATACATAACTACTTGTAGACTTGGAGTCTTTCATGCTGAAATCCAATACTTATCACAATATCCTTTTAATACCGTGGGATTTTTTGTGAAGTGTAATATTTAAGTTGAGGAATACTTCAAATACCTAAGAACCTTTATCAACGTCTTCTAATGATCATGGCTTGGATTACTTGTGAATCTATTAAATTTATTCACAACAAATGCTATATCCAGTCGAGTTCAATTTGTAATTTACATTAAACTATCTATAACCTATGAATACTTTAGTTGTGACCCACATTCACCTGTATTTTTACTAAGTGTAAACTTATGTCAATAGGAATTTTCGCAATACTTTTCTCAAGTACATTATACCTTTAAAGTACATTCTCAATGTAATGAATTTGGGAAAGTACAATTCTTTCCGATCTTCTAGAAATCTTAATCCCTAATATCACATCAACCACACCCAAGTCTTTCATATCAAAATATTTCTTTAACATTCTCTTGGTGTTTAGTATTATTTCATAACTATTGCCGATTATTAACATGCCAGCTACATATAGACATACAATCACATAGGCTTTCATTGTTTTTTATATATACATACTTGTCACACTCATTTATCTTAAATCTATTTGATAACATTATTTTATGAAACTTTTGCTACCATTGTTAGGAACTTATTTCAATCCATACAATGACTTAACGAGTTTAAAAGCTTTTTTTCTATGATTAGGAGAGACAAACCCTTCGGTTGTTCCTTGTATATCTCATATTCTAACTCACTATTTAGGAATGTCGTTTTTACATCCATTTGATGAATCTCAAGATTGTGTAATTCCGCAATTGCAATTAACAACCTCATCGAAGTGATTTTAGTTATGAGTGAGTAGGTATTAAAGAAGTTAAGTCCTTCCTTTGGCTATATTCTTGACAACCAATCTAACCTTACATTTGTCAATAGACCCATCCGATTTTAGCTTCCTTTTCAAAATCCATTTGCACCCTAAAGACTTATTTCCAGGAGGTAAATTAACCAACTCCTAAGTATGGTTTGCATTATAGAATTTATTTCACTATTAATAGCTTCTTTTCAATGTGGTGCTTCCGGTGTAGACATTACTTCATCAAAAGTCTTTGGATCATTTTCTACCATGCAGGTTAGATAATATAGGCCAAACGAAGTAGATGTTCTAGGCCTTTTACTACACCTTATACCAAATAGTCTAAAGGTATTTACTTCTGTTACATAAACAGAAATTCGACACACAGAATGAATGAAAGGAAAAGCACGCAAAGGCTTATTCTAAAGATGAAGATAAGGGTTTGTTTTTCAAGAACCAACAACAAAATTTTGTCTTAAAATTGTTGGAAAGATGTACAAGGAAATGATTGTTTGTCAATATACAAAATGCTAGTTAAGTTTAATTCGTAATAGCATAATTAAACTATATGTAACTTAAAAATGAAAAGAAAGGAGAATGAAAAGAAAGTGAGGAAAAGAAATCCCAGACAAGTGATTAACACTTTTTTTGTACGATAAAAATGCCCCGCAATGGTGCTAACGAAATAAGGCACTTGTCTCCTAAGATACAATGAATACAACTTTTGGTAGAAGCACTTTAAGCAACAGTGAACTCGAACGAAATTTTTTCTCACTTCAAGAATTCAATTTTGGATCAATGCATAATAGACGTTCAAAGGATCCTATTTATAGAAGATGGGAGATTGTGAGTGAAGAAACACATCCCAAAACTTAACCTTCAAGAAAGGATGTATCGCTTGCTGTCGTTGGCCTCTCGCTCGAGCGCAAGTGACATATTTTCAACAAAAACTTTTTGCCCGCCTATCACTAGCCTGTCACTCGAGCGACAACTTCGCCACTTGCTTAGCGCTAGCCTATCGCTTGAGCGATAGTGCTATATGATTTTTCTTCTTTTTTTTCCTTTCCAAATTAAGACCACAATTTCTCTTTCATCTGAAATTGGTTTTGTAATTATACTACGACAATCTACTCGTCAAATAGAACAAGTAGTATATATATTTTTATAATTTGACTATCGTATCAAGTCCGAATATTTGGTTGAAGTTGACACAAAATCACTTTCAACTTTATACTTAACTATTTTTTTAATCTTCAAACCAAATTCCAACGAAATTTGCTAAAGATGCTCTCCGCAATCCACGATGCACCAATCGAAGATGGATTTGAGTGAGAGAAGCAATTTCTTTGCCAATGAATATCTGGACGAAGTGATCAAAACACTGTCACAATGACTCCAGTCTTTTCTCCTTACCCTTCTCTCAACGCTGAATCGTTTAAGACTAACAGATTCTTCTCAATTTGAATCAGAGAGTTTTAAGATCACAAGTTGCATTTTTTTTTTTCCCAAGTTTCAGCATATCAGCAACAAAAGAAGTCGATATATGACCCAGTAATTGGTTTAGGATTATTCAGTGTAAGCAGAAATTCTTAAGTTATAATCTAAATCTTCACAGAGAAATATGGATATTTTGCATTATTAAAGTATCTCTATTATGCATCTATTTCACCATGAATACATAATAAACTTATGCAGCTTTCGCTTGATCAAAGATTATTCTTACGCGGTCCAAATTATGAAACTTGGAAACCAAATTATAGGCCTTTGCAATTCCAATCCCAGGAACTGATGGAAGGAAATCACATCCAGCTAAAATGCACATACCTGAAAATGTCGGGGAATAATCCATTATAACTGAATGAGCGCACAAAAAACAGAGAGACTTGGTGCTTTCTGTCTTCTAACAAATCAATTTAAGTCTGCTCATACGAGACAAAACACGTCCAGTCGATTCATAATGGTAGTCCACCATGGGAAAAAAAAGTATTAAAGATGGACTGATAAGATTTTGCAAACCATTTAGGACAAGTTAGTTTTTGTGTGTACATATGTAAATCAAGAAACAACTGTTTGACAAATGGTATCCTAAATAACTTATTAGAAAATTGAAAAAAGACTACAATAGGTAATTCACATAGAAGCAAGTGAACTTAATGAGGCACAACCCCATTGGCAAGCCATTTGGAAAAGACTGCAATACGTAATTCACAGTAAAGTTTAGCTGCAGTAAGTGAACTTAACAAGGTTCTGCCCTCTTAATGACTGAATCTAATATATTTATTATGTTCATGGAACACTCCTTGTTTCAGCCTGGAAGATGTCTTCGGAGTGATGCAAATTTTAGGTCACAAATGAAAATTTAAACAGCTTGAGATCGTTACAAACTAACCTGTGAATAAGCTTTCATCGAATTTCTGAAAAGAAGGTACACAACCAACAGCATTAAGAACCTTATCAAGGATTATCTCTTCACCATTTCCATACCGGTCCATCTTAAAGATTATCTGCTTAAACCAATGCAAGTAAAGTTCAGCTGGAATACTCTAGATGTTTAAGGCACATCTGCCTACTTCAAAATCTATTACAAGTTCTTACTGCTGGGCAACTATAAGCCAGTAAATCACTATCCTCTGAAATTACAGCAGCAATCCCACCCTCTTCAGCCTTAAGGGTGGACAGGTATGCTAATTGGGCATCAGCCTCATATGGAGCTACGACAAATTCAATATTCTCTGACCTCAGAATCTGTAAATGAAAGATTCAATCGCTCACATATGGAACTGTAGAAAAGCATCAAAATTGCATTTCTTAACACGTTAGATCAAAAAATTCATGCTAATTATTAATTTTACTGGAGTACTAGATTTAATGACAAGAAATTATGTTGTGTGCTAATAGTTTTTGAAGGTAAGAATACGAAACAAAACCATTGATAATTACCTGTACCAGTTGATGTGCCATCAGTGGAGTAATACTCACGGCCCTCTACAGATGAAATGAGGTCATTAAGTAAGGTTTAAAATTTCGTAGTATGAAAGAACATGCACGATAGCAGAATTAGAAATAGATTTCTCAGCAAAGCCAAAGGTCATATCGTAACGTTGAAGCACAGTTTCATATCACGAGAACACAGAATGATATGAGTGATATTGAAGTTTTGAAGCTGAGAACTCAGCATAAAAAATGTGCCTTTCTAGAAGCTTTAATAAAAATAGGCAATCCAAAGTGTACTTAAAAAACATTTATGCTCTTGTTGAGGTATTATCTGAAGAACAAAATAGAATTAAATCAGAGTATGGTACAGGAAAAGAGGATACCTGTACAAGAAATATTTTAATCATAAAGTGAGCTAAAAAGAGGATATCAATTAAAGTGAGCTAAAGGGTTCTCAGCTAAAGATTTCAACAGTCTAACTAGAATTTTGCAATGTACGAATATAGTACGGCCAGTTTATTTAACTTCAATGATAATTTGTTTGAAATGGCTCATATATATAGTGTAGCCTGCAGCAAAGAGTGGAAGATGAAATTTAAAATGAAAATCTAATGCAATAAGAGAGAAAGCAATAAGGCAAATAATTAGTTCCTGAAAAATCTCAGAGGCTGCATTTGCATCCCCTGCCTTCAGCTTTTCCATTGCCATATCTCGATTAGCCTTTCTTCTCCTAAATCAGCAGAAAAGCAAATATCAATCGAGGCATTCTATAAAATTCACTCGCAATGAGCCTATCCATATGAATCAAATGACTGATAAGAGCAGAAGATAGTGCAGTAACATGCCTGTGCCTCTCTTCTTCAGTTGCAGCCTTACAGGGAATATTGCCACCATCGAAAACAACTACTGGAGTAATCTTATGGTGGCGTAGCAGATTAATTCGATGCGTAAAATAATTTAAGTACTGGAATTTCTTGTCACCTTCCATGTTGAGGCACAGCTCCATGCTACATGAATAAGCTGAAAAAAATCACATTTTTTTGGTAATATCATATCAGCGAGAAAGGGGCAAAAAGAGTGAGGTCAAAAGAATCAACGTCACTCGGCAAAAAATAAATGCAAAACCCCTGCAAAAAAAATTACCTCCCTTGTGAAGCCATGAATATGCATCAATACCGACCTGCATCAAAAAACAATAATAATAAATAAATACTATTATATAAGACTGTACGAGATTCATACGAGGAAATGCAGATTGAAAATAAAGAAAAAGAAGAAAAAATAAATATGTTCTAACTCGTTTTCCAGCATATTTCTTGATGTGAACGGATTCAACATAAGGCTTCATGAATTTTAGAAGATTATTGATACCCATTTTCTACTTTCCTGCAAATTATTTGTGAGTTTATTAATTTGGGAATGGGAGAGGGTTGATTGAAATTTTTAATATGGAGATTGGAGATTGGAGGGAGAGTCAGAAATTGGCGGGAAGAAGACCAAATGTTGAACCAGGGTATCAATTTATATTTTAATCTATTACGCTCGTATCAAGCGCGTGCTCTCATTTACTGGACAACAATTTGCTCAATTCTAAGGTAAATTTCAGAAACTCCCTGAAGTTTTGATAATTTCAGAAATATCCCATCTTGTTTTAAAAATTTCAGAAATCTTCTCCATAGTTTGTTTCCAATACGGATCTCGCTTGTTAGATAATAGTATGCCCTTGTTTGAGTGCCATTTTATCAAAAAATCATTTTTTTTCAAAATTCATTTTTAATCATACATTCTCCAATAAAATAATTTTACATATAAATCGAATATTTTTTTTATTTTTAACCACATATTCTCCCAAAAACACTATTCCAAAATACTTTTTGCCTAAATTGGAGCTCAAACAAGGGCACATTTTATCGGATAATTGCAGCAACGATTTTAAACTCTTCAAATCTTGGTATGTTCCTATTCTTTATTCATTTATTGCAACTACGAATCCTTCAATTTGTCCTTTTGCTGCAACTAAATGAATGGTTTGGAACTGTGGATGATACAAATGAGATATTTGAGTAAAGTTTGCAAAAGATGAAAAGTTTGGACCTCAACTACAATTATTCCATCATTTCTATGTTCTTTAACTTTTAAGATCTACATTTTTTTTCTTTAAAAATAATATAGTCACATCTTTGTAGCTAATTTAAGAAGGAACCTTTGAATCTATTGCACTAGGAATATTTATATTATAAAATACTGAAAAATTAGTGCAACGAGTTATGAAAAGAGAGAAAATAAAAAGTCAATAGACTTATGAGAGTTTTGTTGAGAACTAAAGCCCCATTTATATAGAGAAATATTACAGATAAAATGTTAATAATATCTAGAGTCATAGGGGTACAACTGTTATTTACTAATAAATTATCATTTACAGCACTCCCCTTGGAATGATGCATTACAAAATATTTACTTCGTTCAATTCTTGTTTGATAAAAATTCAATGAGACAAAAATATCAAGTGAAGGAAGAAGGGTACAGTTATTTTAGAGTATTAGAAATAATTTTTTCCTCAATAAAACTTTATTAGGAAAATCCAGTGAAATAAAACATAAGTGATAGAAAAATAATACAATTACTCTCCTTGATATTAATCATTGAAAATCTTTGAGTCGAAGCATTCGAACTTGTAAACAATTTTTTTGAATGTAGATATCAGTAATACTTTTGTAAATAAATCGGTCATATTGTCAGTTGAGCGATTTGTTAAATATCGATGTATCATTCTTCTGAAACTTATGTGTTTGAAAATTTTTTAGAGAAATATGTTTCGTCACGTCACATTTGATATAGCCTCCTTTGAGTTGTGCAAACAAGCTACATTATCTTTATACAAAATATGCATAATGTTCGGATATAATGAGTCTATTTCTCAACCATATACATTCTCTGCATATTTCATGCATTGCAATAATTTCGGAATGATTTGAAGATGTTGCTGTCAAGGTTTACTTCACAAATTTCAATGATATAAATGTTCCTTTACGTCTAAATACATATCCTATTGTGATTTAGCTTTATGTAGGTCAAAGAGATAACATATATCTGCATATCCCACTAAAACAGATCCCAACTTTTGAGAATAAAATAATCTCAAAGCAATAGTACTTTTTTAGGTAATGAAAAATATGTTTAACAATATTCCACTGTTTTTGAGTTGATGTGAAGCTATATCTTGCAATGAGGTTTACAGAAAAAGTTATGTCGAGTCGAGTGCGGTTTGCAAGATAGGTTAACGCTCTAATTGCACTAAGATAATATACTTTAGGATCGAGAACCTTTTATCCATCTTCAAGTGGATGAAATGAATTATTTTTCATATCAAGTAATGGAATAACATAAGTGATGTCAATTGATGTGTATTATCCATATAAAACATTTTAAGACTTCTTCTATATATTTAGATTAATGAACAAATAATCATTTTGAAAAGTGTTCAATATGTAACTTGGGATAAAATTTGGTTTTTCCTAAATCTTTCATTTCAAATTCATTTTTCAAATAATCTGCAGCCTGAGGACATTTTTTGGAAGAAGAAAAGTAATTTTTTGACCCTTTTTGGTCACCTAGGACCCACATAAGAGTGTGCTAGTTATAATAAAAA